GCCGCTTGAAGGAGCATATTACGCTACATCGAATTAAGCACGGTAAAAGTGTAACACTGAAGGCGTGGTTGGCGGATTTAGGAAATGTGAATAGCCCAGGGCAGAAGGGGAGATACCACAACTGTTTAGCACACGTTGGTCAAAGAATGGGCTTCACTTGTCTCTTTGACGAGTTGATGTATGGTGCTAAGAATGGCGAGACTCACTGACGATGCCGGCGAAACGTCTGTGAATGAACCACGTCCACGGTCCGACTTTGAAAATGATCATGCATACAATGGACTCCGGACTAGTTGCGTTCCTCTAAGTCTCTCTACCAAATGACCAAGTTGCGAAAACAAGGTCAAACAATCTAATTTAATATTTTGCCATATCCTCTTACAGACACCCTAGGTTTAAAAAAATATTTTAAAGCACTATGACGTATAGGCCCTGATAATGTTTTATATGAAACCCATGCCTATTCAATTTAGAGCCTCACTTTTCTGTCTCTATAGTTAGTTTAGAATTCGTATCTGAGGTTTTCATGAGTAGGCACCACGCATGGCTTAATTTCTGAATTCCAAATATCAAGTTTTCATCGTAGCAAGCTTCGATAGCACACATTCAAAAATATGTTATCTGAACTGATCATTGCAAACTATTTGTCTAATTAATGAATTTTCATAATATCATTTGTCCACTTTTATAGAACTGTGATGACGCTGATATCGTTCGCCTATGCCTAGAAGGACTTCGTCACGCCATCCGGATCGCTTGTATCTTTCATATGCAGTTGGAGCGTGACGCATTTGTTAGCTCTCTCGCCCGATTTACATTGCTTCTTACCTCTGCAGGCGGAGTTGTTGCCATGCCAAGTACCACAATTACTAACAGCGTAGTAGGCGGCAGTATCAGTAACCTATCGACTCACAATAGCTCCTCACAGTCGACTGTCGATTCTGGGTTTTCATCCACATCTCCTAGAAGCCAAAAGTTTGGAGAAAATGATTATGCTTCTGCGAGACGTCCAAGGTCAGAGATGACTCCACTTGCCTCTTACGGGCCTCCCGCTCATGTGAGCTGTTAAGTTTATATACTTGAATACATTTCAGCATTAAAAGTATGAAAGCATGGATTATAATTTCGTCTTTATAAATTATTTTTTAATTTTCTAACTGACTCACTACGGTTCATTAATATATCCTTAGAAAATAGTTCATGCAAATTAATTTATTTATGTAGATTTTGTCCTCCATATGAGAACATTTTCTGGTTAGTATTTTTGTCCGAGTTCCCTTCAATTGTAAAATGAAGCTAGGTTTATACGAAGTCTTTAATAGGTTGGTGTCATTAGAACAGGAAGGGATTCATAAACTAACTTCACTGGGAGGTGAAGGAGGATTGCCTTGGAGTTGTGATTTCCGAATTATGCGGAGAGGAACTTGGCTAACGATCCTGTGATTCCGATGAATCCGTTCTTAGCTTTAGTCTGTCATTTTGCAAATATTGTTAAGACCAAGAACAGAACGATTCCCAAAAGCTCTAGATATTCTGTGGTTTGGTGTTTTAATGAATTCTTTTGTAAATGATGGTTTATGGCTTTAGCATTGTCTGCTAAATGATAGACAAAAGCCCAGGAAGGATTCATCGGGGTCGCAGGTGGTGCGCCGAGGTCTTATTCGAACTATCTATCAACTATAACTTCAAGGCAATCCTCCGGTTTCCGGTGAAGCGAATTTACGAATCCATTTCACACGCCTTCTCGAACAAAATAAAAAATATTCGAGCATTTGAGCCCATATATGCTCATTTTTATATAAATATGCTGTCTGAGAAGATCGAGATATTTGCAAACCAAGATTTTGTGATCATGTTGAGTAAGTTTGCTACCTGGTCTTGAATAACAATTGTGCTTACCTTATATTGAATTAGATGGTGAAGGAGTGATAATTGAATCTTCCAGTAATGATAGAGGCGGGCCTCACGATGCCAATGAATTTTACTTGCCCTTGCCTTCCTAAAGGTAGTCTCAATATAAGTAATTTAGTCTGTTGTATTAACAAGTATAAGTTTATTTCATCCATAATCCCACTATGCAATGTGATATAAGAGAGGCCTGGCTTGCTTTAAGAAGCTCCTCTGACCCATCGGCAGTGGCATATTGGTGATATGCCTAAGATGAACTTTGCTCTACCTTCGTTTGATTCATTTTGGGGCGAGGTCGAAACTGCAGTCCATCCTTAATGAGAATACCTTTTGAGAAGCAAGACCAAGTGAAATGTAAAGGCATCGTATGGCCTACTAATCTTATTGTGGGAAAATTCATTTCTTCATCTCCCTTGAGTAGTTGTCATTTTAAAGATTATCTTTAGAACTCGCCTCCTTATATTTTTTGGGGAGACCCATTCAATTTTGAAGAGTGGATGAATATTCCTCCAATTCATTTCAGCTCATACTGATTTCCCGGCTTCTGTAAAGAGTATGATAGGATTCGTTTTAAAGCATTTTCTGGCTCCCCTCATACTGTTCTGTTTACTCCAGAGCTTTTAAACTTAAATTTTGCTTCCCTATTACATTTAATATTACTCCACAAGTTTAGGTGTTTGTCCTTGTAATCATTAAACAATAAATATATCCGTATTTGTTAGCCTGGCCTCTTTTTATAAACTTGGCATTTGTGTCAATGAGACATCGATGGGCATATTCAGTTCTGTTTCTTCTGTTATAATAGTCATGGCATTTTTTAGCATCTGACAGTTTATTTGGTGCACTCCGAGACGTTTCGCCTGCAGCGTAGTAAGCACAGTTACAACGCATCAAGTTGACATGCGATATCTCGGTAATGATGCCTGCGAAGCCTCTGGGGACTCATTATAGTAGCGGTCATGAGAACCATCCTCACTCCACGCTGGGGTTCTCATGAAAGCCGCTCAAAAGGACACATCATACCACATTTAAATAAACAAGTAAAAATTGTGATAGTGAAGGCGTAATACGAGGAGATATATGAAATGTGAATAACCCAGGACAGAAGGAGAGATACCAAGATTGTTTAGCACACATTTGGTCAACGAATCGGCTTCACTTGTCTCTTTGACGAGTTGTACTGTGGTGCTGAGAATGGCAAGACTCACTGACGATGCCGGCGAAACGTCTGGGAATGTACCACGTCCTCAGCCCGACTTTGGAAATGATCATCGCATACAATGGACCCCGTACGAGGTGCGTTCCTCTAAGTCTTCCTACCAATTGACTAAGTTGCGAAAACAAGTTCAAACAACTTCTATACAACGAAAGGAGACTGCGATCACACAAAAGGCTACACCATCTTGGCCTTAATATTTTTATCTTTTTGCTGCCTTTTTTTAAATTACTAGTTTGATCAGTCATACTTAATACGTGGTAGCTTCGATAATTTATTCTTTTTTTTCATTACCTTAAAATCAATTCTTTTTTAATAAGCCATGGTATATTACTAAAAACAAGCCGCCCTGTTTGAAATTTTGTTCAAGAATTAGTCAGATTATTTTATAGACATATTTAGGAGCTTCTATTAATAACACTTAGAATATATGGATCCAAATTAGCCCTCTCTTCGCTGAACGATATGTCACTATGACATTCTTAATCAAGTTGTTACTTCGTTTTTTGTTTGCTAAGAATTTGCTACTATTGCACGGAGGTGTCATGCTGAACTTGCAAATATACATGACCAGCTACATTGTTTCTATGTTTAGCAAGTATGCGCATAAGTGTTTATTAGGCATTGGGGAGATAGAATTTTTATCCCATTTTGATGATATGC